GTGGAGCACTCAGTCGGGAGTGGAGGACTCAGTCGGGGGTGGAGGACTCAGTCGGGAGTGGAGGACTCAGTTGGGAGTGGAGGACTCAGTCGGGAGTGGAGGACTCAGGAGTGGAGTGGAGGACTCAGTCGGGAGTGGAGTGGAGGACTCAGTCAGGAGTGGAGGACTCAGTCGGGAGTGGAGGACTCAGTCAGGAGTGGAGCACTCAGGAGTGGAGGACTCAGTCAGGAGTGGAGGACTCAGTTGGGAGTGGATTCAGTCGGGAGTGGAGGACTAAAGAGTGGAGGACTCAGTCGGGAGTGGAGCACTCAGTTGGGAGTGGAGGACTAAAGAGTGGAGGACTCAGTTGGGAGTGGAGCACTCAGTCGGGAGTGGAGGACTCAGTCGGGAGTGGAGTGGAGGACTCAGTCGGGAGTGGAGCACTCAGTCGGGAGTGGAGCACTCAGTCGGGAGTGGAGGACTCAGTCGGGAGTGGAGGACTCAGTCGGGAGTGGAGGACTCAGTCGGGAGCAGTCGGGAGTGGAGGACTCAGTCGGGAGTGGAGCACTCAGTCGGGGAAGGCGAGCTGAGGAAAGAGACCACATCTTGCACTCATCATTCATAAGCTAGTGATCCCTTCTTCCACGCTCTTTCCCAGGCTTCGACCTCTACCTCAGATGGGATGCTGACATTAGACCTGATCCAAGAGGAAGACCCTTCCCCTGAGGAGCCAGCCTCTTGTGCTGAGAACTTTCGGGTGGATCTGGACAAGTCTGTGGCCCAACTGGCTGGCAGTCGACGGAGAGCGGACTCCGACCGGATCCAGCCCTCTTCACACCGGGCAAGCAGCCTTTCTCGGCCTTGGGAGAAGCCAGACAAGGGAGCTACCTACACCCCCCAAGCCCCGAAGAAGTTGACCTCTACAGAGAAGGGCCGCTGTGCCTCCCTGGAGGAGATCCTGTCTCAGAGGGATACTGCCCCGGCCCGGCCCGTCCACCTTCGAGCTGAGGAATCCCCAGCCCCCGACCCCGCCCAGCCGGGGCAGCTGTCCCGGATCCAGGACCTAGTAGCCAGGAAACTGGAGAAGACTCAGGAGCTGCTGGCGGAGGTCCAGGGACTGGGAGATGGCAAGCGGAAGGCCAAGGACCCCCCCCAGTCTCCACCCGATTCTGAGTCGGAGCAGCTGCTGCTGGAGACAGAGAGGCTGCTGGGAGAGGCCTCGTCCAACTGGAGCCAGGCAAAGAGGGTGCTGCAGGAAGTCAGGGAGCTGAGAGACCTGTACAGACAGATGGACCTGCAGACCCCCGACTCCCACCTCAGACAGACCTCCCAGCACAGTCAATACCGGAAGAGCCTAATGTGAAGGAGGGGGCAGATCTGGAATTGGGGGGGGCGGGCACAGACTCTATATCTCCAAATGTTGCAGGATAAAGCTTTTTTTATTTACCTCAATCAAAAAAAAAAAAAAAAAATCAAGCTCATTGCTCTTGCTGATGCCTGACCTGCTGTGGCATTTCCCTACCAACTCCTCTAGACAACTCCCTGGTCAGAGAGTTTTCCTGGTCACCTTGGAGAAGGTGAGCCCTGGGGCCCAAGGCTCACCACTCTGTGCACAGGCCAGCTGCTCCCAGGCCCAGGAGGGAAGGGATGCGGATGCACATGGCGGCGGCGGCGGCGTCTGGGCTAGAGTGTGCTGAGGAAGTCGTTTCCTCGGATGCCCCACTCCAGGTTGTTATTCAGAGGGTGAAATTTCAGCTGTGCAGCTGGGGTTCTCGGGACCCGGGGGCCGGTGCCACCTGTCCATGCCATAAGAGAAGTGAAATTTACCCGGCCCGGAGGAGGATATGTGGAATTCACACTGGCCTCTCACCACGGTGTGTGTGTGGGGGGGGGTCCGCTGAGGCTGAGGCGGAGCTGGGTGGCACAGTGGTCCCCTAGCCTGTGCCAGGCCCCTGTACCATCATCTCCAGCACTACAAAAACAAGATGGAGCTGCCTCGGTTTCCTGGTCTGAGGGGCTTCCCTTCCCTTCTCCCAAGGACTCAAGACAAACTTGAATAGACGGGACTGGGCCTGGTCCCCTGCCTGGGGTGGGGCCACAGAGGAGCAGGGGAGCAGCTGACCCTGTGGAGGAGCTGACCTCAGCGTGAAACGGGCATGTGATGGCGGCTGTGTGGGGAGAAGGGGAAGCCAGACCTGCACCCAGCTTCCTCTTTCTGCCAGACAAGGGTTCCTTCTACCCCCCTCCCGACAGCACAGCTTCAGAACAGCTCTCCCCACACCCCCCTGCCCGACTTCCTCACAGGCGCCCGCAGTAGGTCCTCCACGGCTCGTACTCTAAGATTAAGTTTATTAATGATAATAGTGAGGCCTGGCGTAGGGAAGGCAGGAGCTGAATGATTCGTGGGGTAAGGACATAGAGCCTCTTGAATCCGGCATACAAGGGGTTAAAATACGGCAGTGTCCTATGTCCCTGCTTCTCCTGAGGTCTCACCCCAGAGTCCAGGAGAAGTCCCAGAGCTTCAGAGAAGAAAGGGGAAGGACAGGCTGTGGGCTGGGGAGAGACTGTGGGGACCCTTTGACCTGTGTTGTGTTGGGACATTATCACCTTGTACACAAGTTGGGGGGGGGGGGTCCTTCCAATTAAACCATCTCGAAGAAAGAGAGATTCTGGCCTTTAGGCACATGTGAGTGCTGAGATTTGAACTCTGGTCCTTGCACAGCAGATGCTCTTCCCACTCAGCCATCCCCCCAGCCTGCCAGAAGACAGGCGGGCTCTTGTTTTCTTAGTCTGCTTCTCACTGTCCCCAAAGCTGTCTCCATAGCCAGCCCGTAGTGATCTAGAAACAAGGACCCCTCTTGAGCCAAGGGAATTACACCAAGTACCACCTTCCTGACACCCAGGCCTGCCTGGGGCACAAAGTGGGGACCAGGCTCCCTGGCCCCTCAGAGGCTCCCTGGCCCCTCAGAGGCTCCCTGGCCCCTCAGA